CCCCCCACATCTTAGTGTCATCAGCAAACTTGAACAGGGTGCTTTGCACCCCCTCATCCAAATCACTGATGAAGATGTTGAACAGGGCGGGCCCAAGGACCGAGCCCTGTGGGACCCCACTTCCCACGTCCTTCCAGGTCGAGAAGGACCCATCCACTACCACCCTCTGGGTGCGACTCTCTAACCAGCTGGCGACCCATTGGACTGTATGGGTGTCTACGCCACAGTCCCCCAGCTTCCTAATGAGAATGGGGTGAGAGACAGTATCAAAAGCCTTCCTGAAGTCTAGGACAACTATATCCACTGCCACCCCTGCATCCAATGATTTAGTGACCTGGTCGTAAAAGGCCACCAGGGTTATCCTTGATCCATTTTACCCTGGCCTTTCCAGGGTATTGTTAGTCTGCTCTGCGGAAATAAAATGCTTTGTTTTCATTCCTCCAGCATCCCAGGATGCACCATTCCCAGCCCTTCCCACTCCTTTGTTCCATGGATAAACTTTCAACCCTTCTAAATGCTGTTGCTCAAGGGGGTGGTACTGGCTTCAAGTGAACACCTCCTCCTTCCTCCAGGGGGTGTGACCCCAGAACACCCTGACCACTGAGACCCCAGAACACCTGACCCAGGTGCAGCTCACTAGTTTGCTGCTTGCTCTGGCATCCCCATTCACTTGGCTGGCTGGCTGTTGGTGCAAGGGGAGCAGTTAAAATGTCAATGAAACACTAATGAGCATGGACAATTAGTTTTTAGAGCTAGGCATCCATCTGCCTCCCCATCCACCTCACCTCACCTCAGGCCAATGCACCATGGCTTTGTTTCCCCTCCTCCATGCTATTGATTTGAACTGAACCGCTATAATTTGAAATGGTTCTGTCAGCAACCCCCTTAGCCAACTGATGCTGCAAACCTGCTGGGTCTCAACTCTGCCTGATGTGGCATATATGCAGTGAGCTCATTGGCTCTCAGCTCTGTCCTGGTGTGAGTGTTAACCCAACTCCTCTGTTATCTTTTTATTGGACTTGTGCTTAGGAGTGAGAATAATTGATCAATTTGACCATTCCAGTCACAACTTGAAAGCTTTATTAGGCTATGCAATAGCAAAGACTTATTGCTACTAATAAAAACAATGCTTATGCAGCCTTGGATTCAGGAAGAACAGGTCTGCTGGCCAGGCATCTTTGCTTTCCTGGGCACTCTTGCTGAGTTTTTTTTTTTTCTGCTGAGCTTCAGGAAAGGTCCAATTTGTTGCTTGCCCCAGGACCAATATGTATACGTGGTTGATTTGATGTGCTAATAACTGACTTCTGATTGGTTTTATTTAAATTTCTTTGTTTCATTGGAATTTTTGGAGTTGGATGGAACCAGATGGTAGTGTTCCTGGGAAAGACGTCAAGGAATCACCTTAGCTAAGGCTCTTTATTTTTAGGTGTCTGACCCCAGTCTGGTAGTCTTTACTTTACTCAGGATCATGTTAATCAATTGAAATTTATATTGTTGAGATAGGAGAAGGAAAGGTTTCTTATCTTCTTTATGCCTTGCCTTTTGGCCCTTGGTCAGTTATTTACTAACTGTGGCCTGTGGGCCTGACAAGGCTGTTTTACTCTTTCCATCCTCAAGACTCCCTTTGTGTCTATAATCATTTGAACATGTTAACAAAATGCACTTATTATAACAAAATAAGTATTAATACATTTGGTTACCCTTGTTTTAGGTAACACAACAGTAATGCAGAGTATTTAGGGTACAAGCCCTTGGCTTGCTGTTCAGTCATATTTCTGCAGCTTTGACTTGGGTTCCCTGAAAACGGCCAAGCCTGACATCCACACTTTCCCTGCACTTTGGTTATGCTTTGGATAGCATATGTTTGATTCCAGTTATAGTGGTGTTTGTCACCCATAGCTCATGCTGCATGGCTACACCTCCATGACCAATTCCCAATTCACTGAAACCCATACAAGAATTTGGTCCTTTTTATTTGTTTCACTCCTTTATCTTTACTTCTCCTTACTTCTCCAGCTGGCTACTGTTGGCTGTGGAACGAGGGAAGCCACAACTCTACTCCTAGAGCAGCAATGGGCAAAATGGCAGATCCAGCTGGTGGCTGGACTCCCATTTCCCAGCAGCCTCTGCCTGCATCACTGTGGCTAGTTTTCATGGAGACCCAAGCAGTGGTGGCACTGTGACAGTGCAGGGCTAGAGTTTCCATGGAGACCAACCCTAGCGTCACTGGCAGGGCATGCGGGGCAGAGGGCAGGGAGCTGTTCTGTGGCCGGGGCTGGGATTTTGCAGTGGTGACAATGTGGTCTGGAGCCAGGACAGAGCCATGATTTGCTGCCTGCGTGTCCAGAGTTTGGGCAG